AGAATAGGAGAGAATAGAATAGATAATTAGAATTATTAGAATAGAAAAGAAATATAGCCTAGAATAGAAATAGAATAGAATAGAAAATAGAATGGAATAGAATAGGAATTGAAGAGAAGAGAATAGGAATAGAATACAAGAGAAAAGGAATAGAAGAGAATAAGAGAATAGGAATAAAAGAAAAAAATAGAATAGAATAGAAACAGAAGAAAAGATATGAATAGAATAGGAATAGAATAGAATAGGAGAGAATAGAATAATTAGAATTATTAGAATAGAATAGAAAACAGAATAGAATATAGAATAGAATAATGTAGAATAGAACAAGAATTATAATTAATAGAATAGAAATATAGAAGAGAATAGAAAATAACAAAAGTAGAATAGAATAATGTAAACTAGAATAAGAATTAGAATTAGGAATATAGAATAGAATAGAAATTAATAAGAGAGGGCAACCAGGTAGCAGAGGTGACTTTCTTCCCCTGACATCAGCAAAATGGCAGTCTTGTGGTAGATATGCCCCTGTCCTTGTAAAGAAGGGTCAAAGGAAAAAAATGATATTTCCCCAAAGATCAGTTTTGTTGTTTTCTCACTCTATGACAATGGTTTTCAACCTTGCCCCTTTAAGATGGATGGACTTCCACTTCCTCAGCCACGCATGACATCTACACACGAGACCACACATGTTCAAGCCCACACTTCAAATCCATCCGTCTTAAATTGCTTCTGGTAGGAACCTGAATTAAGCAACCTGGAATTAAGGGGAAACTTCCCAACAGTGAGGACAATTAACCAGTGGAACAGAAGTTCCCACCAGAAATTGTGGGTGCTCCATCACTGGAGGCTTTTAAGAAGAGACTGGACAGTCACTTGTTTTGAATGCTATAGGGTCTCCTTCTTGAGCAGGGGCTTGGACTAGAAGACCTCCAAGGTCCCTTTCCAGCTCTATTCTAACTGTGACTGATTCTGCTCGAAGTTGAAAATCTTTGATCTATCTTTCAACAAGAAGCTTTCAAAAAGAGACTGGAGGTCTCCTGCTTGGGCGGGGAGGTTGGACTAGATGACCTACAAGGTCTCTTTCCAACTTTTGTAAATGAGTATTCCACAAGTTTCGTATCTCTACGTTCCCTCGCAAAGCCTTCTGGGGGAGGTAGTTGAAGCGGCGACCGCTCGAGGCGGCGGCCCTCCCGCCATTTTCCCAGCAGGCAGCGCGCGGCGGCGGCGGCCGTTGCTAGGCAGCGGCCCCGGGCCTGGCGGCGAGGATGAAGCCGAAGAAGAGTAAAGCCGGGCCGGGCCGGGCCGCGGCCGTCCGTCGTCGAAAGGGTGGGTGAGGGAGGTCGAGGCCGGGCTGGGTCCTTCCCTTTCCCGCCTTCCCACAGCCCTGGGGTCGGAGAGGGCAGAAAAACCTTGGGAATAGATGCTTTGCTTGCCGTTGCTTGCAAGAGATGGATGGGGGACCACCAGGAGATCCTAGAGAGGAAGGTAGTGGGAAACCACTTGTGGAAAAAGGCCATGTTTTTAATGCTACGAAAGAGAGCCTCCTTGACGTAATGAGGAATGGCAGCATTTCTGGGACGAAGGAATAGATGGGGGACCACCAGGAGATCCCAGAGGGGAGGAGAATGGGAGGGAGTCTATAGAGGAAGATGGTAGGAAACCGCGTGTGGAAAATGGCAGGTTTTTTTTTTATGTACTATGTAGGAGAGCCACCTTGATGTAATGGGGAACGGCGGCAGGCTAGATACCAGAACTTCCAGGACTGGTTCTGGGTTCGAGTTCTGCCTTGGGGGACAAAATGAGCCGGGGGAACCTGCTGTCAAGGATGGCAGAAGACATGGGAGCAGAGGCCTTGCTTTGTCTCTCCTGCTGTTGCGGCAAAGGGTTTCTCAGTTGAAGAGATGGATGGGGGACCACCAGGAGATCCCAGAGGGCAGGAGAATGGGAGGGAGACCCTAGAGGAAGTTGGTGGGAAACCAATTGTGGAAAAAGGATGTGTTTTTTTTTTAATGTACTATGAAGGAAACTCAATTGATGTAATGGGAAACGGCGGCAGGCTAGATACCAGGAGAAGTTCCAGAACTGGTTCTGAGTTCGAGGAGACAAAGTGAGCCTAGGGGACACCCCGCCCCCCTCCGTCAATGAAGGCGGAAGATGTGGGAAGAGAAACTCTGCCTTTCTTCTCCCGCTGATGCAAATGGTTTCTCGGCTGGAGAGATGGATGGGGGACCACCAGGCGATGCCAGAGGGCAGGACAATGGGAAGGAGACTTGGGCCTGGAGGAAAGGGGTAGGAAGCCCATTTCCTATTTTGTGGGTCCTTGTAAGTACCCAAAACATACAACCTACATCTCAATGAATCAGATCCTTGGCTCATTTAAGGTTTAATCTTTAATAATTCATTACTTCACCTTTTTAATTTTGAGTATTCTATACTGCAGGGGGTCCTTGACTTATGACCACAACTGAGCCCCAGATTTCCACTGCTAAGGGAGACGTTGGTTCAGTGTGTTTTGCCTCATTTTACCATCTCTCTTCCTAGTGAATCCCTGCAGTTGTTAAGTTGGTAACAGTTGTTAAGTGAGTCTTGCCCCGTTTTACGACTTCTCTTGCCACAGTTATTAAGTGAATTCCCACAGCTGTTAAGTTAGTATCCCAGTTGTTAAGTGCACCTGGCTCCCCCAGTGTGTTTGCTGGTCAGAAAGTGGCAAAAGAGGAATCACACAACCTGGGGACACTGCAACAGTTATGAATCCGTTGAGAAGTGTCCAGATATTGACGGTGGGGATGTTGCAACGGTCGTCAGTGCGAAAAATGGTTATAAGTCCCTTTTTTTCTGTGCCTCTAACTTTGAGTGGTCACTAAACAAGCAGTTGTAAGTGAAGGACCACCTGTCCCTTTAATTATTTTTACTTTTTATTGTGCTGTAAGCTACCTAGAGTTGCTGTAACATTGAGGTGGGCAGCATATACATTTAAGAAATAGAATCTTTCTTGGCCAAGTGTGTTTATTGGACACACAAGGAATTTGTCTTGGTGCAAATGCTCTCAGTGTACATGAAAGAAAAGATACATTTGTCAAGAGTCAAGAATCATCAGTACAACACCTAATAATAGTCACAGGGTACAATAAGAATAGAATAGAATAGAAAATAGAATAGAAAACAGAATGGAATGGAATAGAAAATAGAATAGAATAGAGAATAGAATAAAATAGAATAATGGAATGAAGAATAGAATAGAATAGAATAGAATAGAATAGAATAGAATAGAATAGAATAGAATAGAATAGAATCTTTATTGGCCAAGTGTGGTTGGACACACAAGGAATTTGTCTTTGGTGCAAAGGCTCTCAGTGTATGTAATAAAAGAAAAGATACATTCGTCAAGAGTTAAGAATCATCAGGTTCAACACTTAATAATAGTCATAGGGTGCAATAAGCAATCAAATCATATTAGGAAACAGTCAATATAAATCGTAAGGATACAAGTGACAAAGTTACAGTCACAAGTGGGAGGCGATGGGTGATAAGGAGTGATGAGAAGGTGAATAGTGATAGTAGTGCAGACTTTGTAAATAGTTGGACAGTGTTGAGGGAACGAGTTGTTTAGCAGAGTGATGGCGTTCGGGGAAAAAACTCCTTGTGTCTAGTTGTTCTGGTGTGCAGGGCTCTATAGCGTCGTTTTGAGGGAAGGAGTTGAAACAGTTTATGTCCGGGATGTGAGGAGTCTGTAGATATTTTCACAGCCTCTTTTTGACTCATGCAGGATGCAGGTCTTGATGGAAGGCAGGTTGGTAGCCATTGTTTTTTCTGCAGTCCTAATTCCTCTGTGGAGTCTGTGTCCGTCCTGTTGGGTTGCAGAACCAAACCAGACGGTTATAGAGGTGCAGATGACAGACTCCATCCTTCCTCTGTTAGAACTGGATCAGCAGCTCCTTGGGCAGTTTAACCCTAAATCTAATTTTGGGGGTGCTCTCTTGTTGCTCTGCAGCTCTCAGCGATGTTTCCCCTTCTACCAGTTTACCACCTCTTGTGGAAGGGCAACTCCGCTGCTTCCTCAAACTGACCATTAGCAAAATTGTATGGATGGTCGCCAAACCGCCAGCATCGTCCCTTGTCCGGCTAAGATGGTGGGGAGAAACTAGCAACGGCACCATCTTCGTTCCCCAGGATGCTTCCCAGCCAGAGCAGAAAATTCTGAACACCACCACCTGCTACCCGGTGCGATGTGGGCCCAAACAATTCGCCTCCTACCTGTCAGGTATGGCTGTTTCTTGGCAATTTAACAGGTTGAATGGATGTGCCCTGGATGTGGTCAGCCCACAGAGGCCTTCTCTGGAAATGGCCCACAAAATTGCTCTTTTCAGGGTGAAAAAAAATAGGAATGATTAAATACAGTTGAGAACAGTTATATTTGCTTATGGGGATCCTTGTTGTTCTCTGAGCAGGATGGTGGTTCTCTTGCAGATGTTTGATTACCAAACTAGGTGACCTCATCAGTGCTAGAAAGGTGTGAGGTTTTCCCCCCAATTTATATTCTAGACTAGAATATAAATTGAGAGCAAATCCCGTCGTCTTCTGACACTATAGCTGGGTTATGAAATGTCTGCAAGAAAACCAGCAAGCTCTGAGAGCAACAAGGACCCCACAGTTCTCCTCCTCCTCCTCCTCCTCTCCTCCTCTCCTCCTCCTCCTCCTCCTCCTCCTCCTCCTTTTCACATCCCTCCCTCCCTTCTAGCACTGATTGATTATGTTACCTAGTTGGGTCATGAAACATCTGCAAGGAAACCCCCAACTCAGAGAGCATCAAGGACCCCTCAGTCCTCCTCCTCCTCCTCCTCCTCCTCCTCCTCCCCCTCCCTGTAAACCCCACTTCCTTCTAACACTGATGATGTTCCCTGGTTGGGTCATGAGACGTCTGCAAGAAAACCACCAAGCTCAGAGAGTATCCAGGACCCCTCAGTCCTCCTCCTCCTCCTCCTCCTCCTCAAACCCCCTCCTCAAACCCCATTCCCTTATACCACTGATGCTGTTACCTAGTTGGGTAACGAAGCGTCTGCAAGAAAAGCATTCAGAAAGCCCGAAGAACACCACAGTTCGACCCTGAGCTACAGATACTCTCCTCTTTCACTACGTTGCTCCATCATGGTTGGATGGAAGTGGGAAACAACGTTTGCATTATTTAAATGCAAACTTAAACGAAGCTTGCATTTAAATAACGGAAGATTGGGTTTTTCACCCCCACGGTTTTGAAGTAGAATTGACCCCCTGACCTGTTGTTTCCCCAGCCGGTCCTCACCTTTCCTCCAGTGTGTTTCTTTGCTTGCTTCCTGCAGACATGGGGGCCCTTATCCTGGAAGTGATGACCAAGTCCGACCATCTTCCCGTTGGACGGGTTGAAATCAAGGGGCTGGCCCTGCTCTCTCCGAGCCACCCCATCCGTGGGGATTTCCCCATCCTTTCGCCGACCTCTGAAAAGATGGGAGAACTGCAGGTATTTCAGAACTTATTTCCTTGAGTAATACTGTGTGTCCCCGTCTCCCCGGTGGCCCATTCTCCACTCCAGGTACTGTAAACGGGGATCAGTTTGAAACCCACACAATGCTCTCAGTAATGGTCTGGATGTCCTCAAGCAATCTTTGGGGGCCGGGGAGGATGGACAGGTGGTCCTGGATTTACAGAAGTTTGCTTAGCGACCGTTCAAAGTTACAACAGCACTGAGAAAAGGGACTTGGGACCATTTTTCACACTTATGACCGTTGCAGCATCTCCATGGTCAAAATTTGGACTCTTGAAATTGATTCGTGGTTTATCTATTTATTTTGCCATACATTTTTTATTTTCTATCTTCTACGAACAACCGTGTGTTTACAGGGTATTTACATTTTAGAGCAAATATGACAAGAGTTTCATATTAAAACTGTTAACTTCATAATTAATATTACTATAAATACAGATTGTCTATCCTGATTATTCCAAATTTCCATATGTTGTTTTTAATGTCAATCTCTATATTCTTAACATCACTTCATTTATTGTAAAAATATATATTCCCCGTCATATTAATTTATATTTTCTCTTATCTATCCCCTTTTTAATTCTTAGCTGTGCCACTAGCATGTTTAAAACAACGTTTCTTTCTGATCTCATTTTAGTACAAACAATGTAATATTCATCTGTTTACGTTTAGCAAATTATTCCAGCAATAATATCAATGATATTTGATTCATATTTACGATGGTTGGAGTGTCCCAGGGTCAACTTTCGTGATCACCTTTTGTGATCAAAATCCAGGCGATTGGCATCTGACTCCTATTTATGACTGTCGCTGTGTCCCTGGATCATGCGGTCTTTGCAACCTTCACATGAGTAAATTCTACATTCTCTTCCCAACCGTTTTGCTCACTTAATAGCCGCAGTGATTTGCTTAGCAACGGGGCCAAGAAAGTTCGTGAAATGGGGCAAAACTGACTTCATGAATGTTTTAACAGATAACAGATGACCAGAGTTGGAAGGGACCTTGTAGGTCATCTAGTCCAACCCCCTGACCAAGCGGGAGACCCTACACCATTTCTGAGAGAGGGCAGTCCAGTCTCTTCTTGAAAGCCTCCAGGGATGAAGCTGTTCCATTGATTTATTGTTCTTTCAGAAAATTCCTCCTTATTTCTTGCTTGAATCAATCAGAATAGAGTTGAAAGGGACCTTGGAGGTCATCCAGTCCAACCCCCCCGCCCAAGCAGGAGACCGTATACCGTTTCTGACAGAGGGCAGTCCAGTCTCTTCTTGAAAGCCTTCTGAAACTTCTGAAGTCAACTTCTGTCCATGGGTTGGTTCTTCTCAATGTCAGAAAGTTTCTCCTTATTGCCAGGTTGATCAGTTTCCATCCATTATTCCTTGTCTGGCCTTCAGGGGCTTTGGAAAATAGTTGACCCCCCTTTTCCTCTCTGGGGCAGCCCTTCAGATATTGGGAGACTGCTATCCTGTGTCCCCTGACTTGCCATGACCAGTTCCTGCAAGTGTTCTTCCTATGTTTTAGCCTCCAGTCCCCTCATCATCCTGGTTGATCTTCTCAGCACTTTTTCTAGAGTCTCAACCTCTTTTTTATAATGTGGTGACCAAAACTGGATGCAGGACTCTAGGTGTGGCCTTACTAAGGCTTTACAGAGTGGTATTAGTACTTCCCTTGATCTTGACTATATCCCTCTGTTAATACAACTTAGGATTGCATTAGCTTTTTTGGCGGCGGCTGCACACGGCTGTCTCCTATTTAGCTTTTTGTCCACTAAGACTCCGAGATCCCTCTCACAGTTCCTGCTATTGAGCCTGGTTTTCATCCAGTCTGTATGTGTCCTTTGGGTTTTTCTTGCCTAAGTGTAGGACTTGACTTTTCTCTATGTTGGATTTCCTTTTGTTAGGTTCGGCCCAGTGTTCAAGTCTGTTGAGATCCCTCTGGATTTTGAGCCCATCTTCTTGGGTGTTGGCTATTCCTGCCAGCTTAGTATCATTTGCAAATTTGGTATCTATTCCCTTTTGCTTTGCAACGTTTCGATGCTTGACAACTGACTCACATGAATGACGGTCACAGGGTCCCCTTTTGTGACCTCCTAACAAGCCAACTCAAGTGGCAGGGAGGGGGAAACCAGATTTACTTATCAACCGTATTACTAATTTTAATAATGGCAGCGATTCAAGTTAACAACGCTCAGCAGGAACGGTCCTAAAATGGGACAAGACTCACTTAACACCTTTCTCACTTAGCAACAACAATTTTGGGCTCAATTGTAAGTAGATGAGGACCTGTGTCAGACCCGTATGTGGGAACAGGGACGTGTTCTTACAGGCCCGCTCAAAATGACACCTTGCAGGTATCCCTGTTCCTGGAACCTCTCGCCGATGAGTACGAATGCAACCACACCGTCCACAACACAAACGTGAACAAAGAGGCTGCAGATCTGAGCCCGTCCCTCACTCCGTTCCAGCTCCACAGACCATCTGGCACCCACGTCCACGGAAGGGAGTCCCTGGGCAGCAGCAGAGCGGGTACTCCAAGGTGTGTGGGTTTGTTTTTAATTTTTATTTTCTGCCTACTGGGATTTAAAAACTAAAACAAAACGGCCCAATGTCTCAAAAATGTCTATTTGCCATCTTTGGGAAAAGAATTTGCTTGCTTCATAGGATAGCTATGCTTTTAATGCGGACATAGGTGCGTTGTGTTATAGTTTATGTTGTGTTGTTACGTTACGTTGCTGTTGTAAATGGTTTAGCCATGGTGGCGCTGTGGTTGGAATGCAGTGCTGTGGGCTACTTCCGCTGCCTGCAATTTGGCAGTTCGAATCTCCCCAGGCTCCATCCTTCGACTCAGCCTTCCATCCTTCCGAGGTTGGTAAAACGAGGAGCCCGATTGCTGGGAAGACAAGATGGCTGACTCTGTAAACCGCTTAGAGAGGGGCAGGAAAGCATTGGGAAGCGGTATATAAGTCGGAGTGGTAGTGCTACTGGGAATGGAGGGAGTGGAAGGAGGGAAGGAAAGGAGGAAGGAAGGAAGGAAGGAAGGAAGGAAGGAAGGAAGGAAGGAAGGAGTGAGCGAGCACCGCAGTTAGAATGCAGCATTGCAGGCTAATTCTGCCCACAGTCTGGAGTTCAATTCTGACCAGCTCCAGGTCAACTCAGCCTTCCATCCTTCTGAGGTCGGTAAAACAAGAACTCAGATTGTTGGGGGCAAATAGGCTGACTCTGTAAACTGCTTAGAGAGGACTATAAAAGCGCTGTTAAGTGGTATATAAGTCTAAGGGCTATTGCCCTTCCTTCCTTCCCTCCCTCCCTCCCTGCCATGGTGGCTGACTCGGTAAACGGCTTAGAGAGGACTATAAAAGCACTGTTAAGCGGTATATAAGTGCTACTGCTATTCCTTCCTTCCTCCTCCCTTCCCTCCATCCCTTCCTTCTTTCCTTGCTCCTTCTCTTATTCCCTTTCCCATTCTCCTTCCTGGTGGCACAGCGGTTAGAGTGCAGCATTGCAGGCTAATTCTGCCCACTGCCTGCAGTTCGATCCTGACCGGCTCAAGGTTGACTCAGCCTTCCATCCTTCCGAGGTGGACCCAGATTGTTGGGGGGATAAGAGGCTGACTCTGTAAACCTCTTAGAGAGAGGCGGGAAAGCACTGGGAAGCGGTATATAAGTCTAAGGGCTATTGCATATGCCATGGACAGCCAGAGAGGTGCTGAATCGTATAAAACGAGACATCTCACTCCCAAAGGTGCTTTTTCAAGAGGCGCCTGGTTTTTCTTTGAAGACATTTTGCTTCTCCTCTAAGGAGCTTCTTCAGCTCTTTCTGGATGGTGAGGAAGGGAAGGATTTATATTCCTTGCGGACAGCTGGTCATTTACATTCTTTTTAGAGGGTTGTTGAGGCCGCTTGGAGGTTTACCTGTGTCCTCACGGTCACTTTAGTATGCTCCTGGTTCCTGCAAATTTTTCCTCTGGAAATCTGTTCCTATTCCCACACCGTTCAAAGGGTGTTCATCCAAAACTATATATCTAAAAGTCTGTAGAGATTCTCAATCCTCCAGGTCCTGGTTGTCCCAAAGGTGCTTCACATCCGAGAAGCTTCTTCAGCACTGACTGGATGGTGAAGGATGGAAGGATTTATACTCCTTGTGGACAGCTGGTCATTTGCATCTTTTTAGAAGGTTGTTGAGGCCACTTGGAGGTTTACCTGTGTCCTCAATAGGTTAGGATAGGTTAGGATAGGATAGGATAGGATAGGATAGGATAGGATAGGATAGGATAGGATAGGATAGGATAGGATGGAAGGGAAGGGAAAAGGAGAGGAGAGGAGAGGAGAGGAGAGAATTCTTTATTGGCCAAGTGTGACTGGACGTACAAGGAATTTGTCTTGGTGCAAATATTCTCAGTGTACATAAAAGAAAAGATACATTCATCAAGAGTCAAGAATCATAAGGTACAACTCTTAATAATAGTCATAGGGTACAATAAGCAATCAAATTATATTAGGAAACAGTCAATATAAATCATAAGGATACAAATGACAAAGTTACAGTCATACCATCACAAGTGGGAGGGGATGGGTGATAAGGAGTGAGATAGATAGATGGATAGATAGATAGATAGATAGATAGATAGATAGATAGATAGATGATAGATAGATAGATAGATAGATAGATAGATAGATAGATAGATAGATAGAATGAATGAATGAATGAATGAATGAATGAATGAATGAATGAATGATTTATTGGCCAAATGCTCTCAATGTACATAAAAGAAAAAATACATTCGTCAAGAGTCAAGAATCATCAGATACAACACTTAATGATAGTCATAGGGTACAAATAAGCAATCAAATCGTACTAGGAAACAGTCCATATAAATCGTAAGGATATAAGCGACAAAGTCATACAGTCACAAGTGGGAGGGGATGGGCGATAAGGAGTGATGAGAAGATTAACAGTAATAGTAGTGCAGACTTTGTAAAGAGTTGGACGGTGTAAGGGAATTAGTTGTTTATTAGAATGATGGCGTTCGGGGAAAAAACTCCCCTTGTGTCTAGTTGTTCTGGTGTGCAGGGCTCTATAGCGTCGTTTTGAGGGAAGGAGTTGAAACAGTTTATGTCCAGGATGTGAGGGGTCTGTAGGTATTTTCACAGCCCTCTTTTTGACTCGTGCAGGATATACAGGTCCTCCATGGAAGGCAGGTTGGTAGCCCTTGTTTTTCCCCCATTTCAGGGGGAAAGATCACCTGTATTTCCAGGAGAACTCGGAGAATATCCAAAGAAGTATTGGTGGGTCTCACCCACACCTGAATTACATCCTGAGCGCCAAGGATCCCAAGCCACCAAAAATGTTTCCCAACAACTCTGATCCAGAGGCACAAATCAAGCCAGGCAAGGAAAGCACAAGGCCTGTCCGTGTCCTTCCTTGCAACAGCCCAGCTACGAAAGATCTCCTCGCAGGTAAGCTGGTGCGGACCGCTGCTGTGCAGGTAGTCCTTGACTTACAACCATCCATTTAGCCACCATTCGAACTTAAGGACTGACTATGACCGTTTCTCAGGCTTACAACCCTTTTCCCCCCCCATGGTCACGTGATCAAAATTCAGCCATTTTGGAAACTGGCACGTACTTAAACTATGGTTGCAGCATCCCGAGGTCTTGCGAGTTCCCTTTTGTGAGTTCCTGACAAGCAAAGTCAGCGGGGAAGCCAACTGTCAACTCATAAAATATTTCTATGGTCTTTTTAGAGTTGCCAACAGAAAGGGAGGGGGGGATTCCGGCAGTTACCTCCCCCTCCCCCCCCCAATTAAATCCTGAGTCTCAAGCCAACCGTCCAAAACTCTGAAAGGATTTATTGGGAGTGAACTTGTCCGGCTCTGCCTGGTGGAGCCGACTCTAAGATACATAATTCATTTTCACCCTTGACCCTGGTTTTCCCTCCATCTTTCTGAGTGTATCGTAATTCATATTCTCCAATGGGACACCTCCCTAGCTACAAGTCCTCAGTCATGCTCTCCAGTTAGATATTTGCCCCGGCAGACACTTCAGTCACCTAGTTGCTATCTTTGAAAAACTATTGATGGGATGTACTTTCCATTTCCGAGCTGCCGCGCTGGTCTTTCAAACCCCTTTCCCCCCCCCCACCCGTCCCTTTTTAATGGCAACTCTAAAAGACCATAGAAATATTTTATGAGTTGACATTTGGCTCCCCTCACTTCTTGAAGGTGACAGATTTGCTTAATGACCGTGCTACTCACTTAACAACTGAAGCGATTCACTTAACAACTATGGCAAGGAAGGCAGTAAAGCGGGGCAAAACTCACTTAACAACTGTCTTGCTTAGCAGCAGAAATGTTGGGCTCAATTGTGGTCATAAGTCGAGGACTATCGGTATTTTTTTTTAAAGGACATATTGTCTTTGATCCTAAAAAGAGGGTTGCAGTCGGGCAGAGTAGATGGTTCCTTTGATTTTTTTTTCATCTGGATTTCCTTTCTCTTCTTTCAAGACCTTTTGGATCGAGGGAACCGGCTGCGCAACGCCATGGCTGTGTCCGTCATGACATCTAATCCGGATCCCGTCATCGAACGCTATGAGGCTCAACTTCCTGCAAAGCCGGGCCTCTACCGCCAATCTGGAAAGTGAGTGACAAGAGGGGAGGTTTGAGTCTCCAAGAAAATGGGATGCGGTGCGTCTCCAGCGTTTAAAAATGGTGACAGTTTAGTTTACTTTATTGTCATTGCACCTCGTACAACGAAATCAAACCCCGTCTTTAGAGCACATCATAACCATGACAATAAACACAGACACACATCCTTCACACTCCACACACTGAATGGAAAACCCCTGATATTGCATGAATATTGCACCCTACAGTAGAATTGCAATAGAGTTACTTGCCCTGGGATAGAAGCTTGTTTTTCAGCCTGTTTGTCCTTGTTTTTATTATTGTCCTGTACCGTCTGCCAGGTGGTAATAGTTTTTTTTAAAAAAGGGGGTTCCCAGGATGAGATGGATCTTTGAGCATGTTTTGAACTTTCTTAAAGCTCTTCCAAAGAGGGGAGAGGGCAACCAATGATCCTCTGGGCAATATTAACCCTCTGGAGTGCTGTCCTATCTGCCCCTGTGCAACTGGCAAACCCCACACAGGTGTGCAGTAAGCTAAGATACTCCCTATGGGGCAGCCGTAGAAGGTCACCAGCAGTTTCTCATTCAATTGTTGTTTCCTGAGAAGTCTCGGGTAGTCTAATCTCTGCTAGGCCCTTTTGACCAGGGCTGCCATGTGAGCCCCCACCCCCAGGTCAGGTCCTCTTTTAGGGTAACACCCAGAAACTTAAAACTGGCCACTTGTTCCACTCGGTCTCCCCTGATAAGCAAGGGCTGGACGTCTGATCTCTTCTTTCTATATAGTCCACTATCATCTCCTTGGTCTTATTGGTGTTGAGGACCAAGTTATTTTCAGAGGGACTTGAACTCAAGGCAAAATCAATCCATCAACTTCTGCTATCGGTAGTCCCTCAACTTAAGAGATGTTCATTTACAACAAAGCATTGGAAGAAGTGTCTTATGACCGGTTTTCACACTTAGCAACCGTTACAAGATTCCCCAGGGTCACGCGATTAGAATTTGACCGCTTGGCAAAGTTGCGTGGACTTACCGAGCGTTGCCGTGTCCCTTCCTCACATCTGACTGTCGATGAGATTCTCAGCCCTCCAGCTGATCGGTTGTCCCCAAAGGTGTGGGTTTTTTTTTTTTCTCAAGAGGCACCTGGGCTTTTCTGCTTTTTCCTTTTGAAGACATTTCGCTTCTCCTCCGAGAAGCTTCTTCAGCTCCGACTGGATGGTGAAGGATGGATGGATGGATGCTCCTTGCAGACAGAACTGGTCGTTTGCATCCTTTTTAGAGGGTCGTTGAGGCCACCTGGAGGTTTGTCTGCGTCCTCTCAGGGTCACCTGAGTGGTGCAAATGGATATGGGGCCTTCTTGGAACTGCGGAAAGGACAGGAGAGAGATGATGTCATATCCCTCCCCCCTCTGTTGAGAGCAGGCTGTCATATCCGCCCCCACGGTTTGAAAGAAGAGGGGTCCAAGAGGCCATCTATGTCAACATTGAGGGGGAGGGATATAACATCGCCTATCTCCAGTCTACAACATAGTCCTTTCAGCAGTTCCAAGAAGGCTCCACGCCCATTTGCACCACTCAGGTTGCATCGAGAACGCAGACAAACCTCCAAGCGGCCTCAACGACCCTCTGAAAGGATGCAAATGACCAGTTCTGTCTGCAAGGAATATCAATCCTTCCCTTCCCCACCGTCCAGTCGGAGATGAAGAAGGTTCTTGGGTGAGAAACAAAATGTCTTCAAAGGACAACAAGAAAGTCCAGTGGCCTCTTGAAAAAAAAAAAGCACTTTGGGGACAACCACGACCTGGAGGATCGAGAACCTCTACACACTTTTAGCTATACAATTTGGGATAAACCCGCTTTGAACGGTGTGGGAGTAGGAACGGATTTCCAGAGTAAAAAAAATTGCAGAGTACAGGAACCCATTTGCCCCACTCAGGTGATCCTGAGGACACAGATAAACCTCCAAGTGGCCTCAACGACCCCCTCAAAGGATGCAAATGACCAGTTCTGTCTGCAAGGAGTGCAAATCCTTCCTTTCCCCATCATCCAAGTCAGAGCTGAAGAAGCTTCTTGGAGGAGAAGTAAAATGTCTTCAAAAGAAAAAAGAAAAAAGTCCAATTGCCTCTTGAAAAAAGTACCTTTGGGTTCCAGAAAATTATAAACGATACCTTAAAACAGTCTAAATAATTAAGACTTTAATTTATATCCCATTCCCTATGTAAAAGCCCCTTTGTCTTCTGTGGCCCTTTTTCCTAGACAGATATTAATAGTGCCACTACACTGAAAAAAATCCTGTTAAAACTATTGGGTGAATGATTGTTCTCGACCTCATTTTAGAGGATCGCATTCTCCCTCCAGGTAACGCTTTTGATCGCTCACATCTTCCTTTCTTTTCTGTATTCTAATATTCTATCCAGAACTCTGAAGAACTCTGGCCTTACGTGTGAAGATTCTTTTCAGCCATGGTCTGAATGTTCAGAATTCGATTTGGACGCTGAAAAGAAAGCGGTCGAGCTTCTGCTGGGCGGGTGAGATACATATTGGTCTGGCTCTCCTTTTGTGGGGGGTGGGGGGGTGGGAATTGCCTCAGGAATTTTCCCCAAATGTAATATTTCCGGGGTAGGTCTCAACTTACAACCACAATTGAGCCCAAAATTTCTGTTGCTAAGTGAGGCAGTCATTTAAGTCAGGGGTTGCCAACGTTTTGGACCCAGGGACCACCAAACACATACTTTTAAATCCCGCAGACCAGAGACCCTGGGGAAATCCCCCCAAAAAAGTCTGCAGGAAAATCCCCCAACCCGTTTTCCTACCAACTGTCTTTATTTGGGATCGCAGGATACCGTCTCCAGAGCTGTTCTCAGGGGAGAGAGAGAGAGAGACTTTTGGCTTCATGCAAGGAAAACAGCAGAAGCAGCAGAAGTCTTTCTTTCTCTCCCTCCAAACTCCGCCAGAAATGAGCCTCTTGGAGCAGGAGGCCTTGCAGGGTCCCCAAGACTCATTTCTGGTGGAATTTGGGGGAGAGAAAGAAAGACTTTTGCTGCTTTCCTTGCGTGCAGCCAAAAGCAGAAGAAGGAAGAAGCGGAAAGAAGCAGCCCGGTGGCCAGGCCAGGCGCGTGGGGCGCATGGGGCAAGTTCCCCCCCTCCGCCTTTCCCTCCTCTGCTCACTACCGCGTGTTGTTCACAATGCAAGCGACGCAAGCCTTGTGTTCCCACAGGCCGTGTGGGTGGCGCAGCCTTGTGTTCCTGTGCAGCCTGGATTAATTGCTTTGGGGGGGACATTTCTCTGCGGACCACCAACATTTTCTCTTGGACCACCAGTGGTCCCTGACTCACTGCTTGGCAACCACTGGTTTAAGTGACATGGCTGACTGAGGAATCCTGGGAGTTGAAGTCCAAGTATCTTAAAAGTTGCCAAGTTTGGAGTCAATCCTGCTTTAAACAGTCCCTAAATGAATGGTTGTAAATTGGGGATAATATAATATAATATAATATAATATAATATAGTATAGTATAGTATAGTATAGTATAGTATAGTATAGTATAGTATAGTATAGTATAGTATTGTAACGTAACGTAACGTAACGTAACATAATATATAATTAATATATGATATATGATATAATATGATATGATATAATATAATATAATATAACCTAACCTAACCTAACCTAACAAACATAATATATAATTAATATATGATATATGATATAATATGATATAATATGATATAATATAATATAATAATAATATAATATAGTGCCTGTGGAGAACTTTCCCTCTTTCTATCTCTACAGTTCTGATTTATCCCCGGATCATCTCTTGGATGGGGCCGGCTCCCCTCCCGGATCTCTTTCCCCTTTGAGTCACTTGTGTGACAGTGAATTGAATGACCCACATTACGACCAGAGTCTCTTGGAAAATTTGTTCTACACGGCTCAGGTGAGTGGAAAAGGTGTGCGGATGGGGGAACCCCTTTACTGTGGTAATATTCTTTGACAACCCTCCATTACTAACAAGTCATCTCTCTGATTAGAAAAGTCTTACTTTGGACACATTGGGGTACATTAGGGGGTCTCCAGACTTGGCAGTTTAAGAGTTGTGGATTTCA